GTCTCTGCAGCAGCTGCAGCTCTCGGTGATAAAGAGTTGCAGCAAATGGAAACACTTCAGGAAGCTGGAGGTCAGGGCTCATCAGACAGCTGACGGTATGTCGGGGGTCACTGAGACGCAGCGACGCATTAACACTCTGCACCGCTGTATGCACTGACACACACACACACACACACACACACACACACACACACACACAGACGTTATCATTCTCTTCAGTCTCATCAATGATGTTAAAGGATCTTAGATGTGTCTTTACTGAAGTCTTCAAATGTGTCATTTTGTTCAACAGATTCAGTTTAGAATTAAATAAAACAGAGAAACAGAAAATCTGACACATCAGACAAACTGATGGAAATAAACGCTAATAATCAGAAAGGTTCTGATTAATGTTTTTTTTTAATCAACTAATAAAATGAATGGTTTTGATGTCAGAAAACTCAACTTATTTATGTGTCAGAGTCAGTGTGGTGAGCTGAGGTGGTGTCAGAGTCAGTGTGCATCAGTAAGGAGACACCAGTGTGGACTGGGACAGACCCAGTGTTCCACTTACTGGTCTTGGCTCTCTGGGCGTCCTGGTTGGCGATGGTCACACCTTCTTGCAGCTCATCAGGCTCCAGAGGATCAACACAGCCCTCATCCTGGGGTCAGAGGTCAAAGAGTATGAAATTATATGTTTTTTCTTGTGTGTTATCAGCTAAATCATCATTTACATCCTTACGCACTGAATTATTTTGACTTATCAGGTTAAAGACTGGTGTCTTAAAACATTAAAGATGTTCACTTGTAATCTATGAAGAAGTAAAATAAGAAGGAGGAAGGCCTCTCTGAGAAATTCATCTTTTTTACTTGTTATTTTACACAAACACCCCCAAGCAGGTGGGTACTCATGCTTTGTTCACAACTTTGTTCAGCGCTCCAACGATGCGGTGAAGCATCTACCTATCATAGTTTTTTGTTTCTAGCTGTGGTGCTGTGTAATATAGTTTAGTTAGCTGATGCTATGCTAGCTTAATGTGTCCTGCAGTGCTCACAGGGGTGTAATGGGGCGGTGAAATGGGATGTTAAAATGGGGCTCAGACACAGATAAAAATACACAGATATTCTTTTGACCAACTACAAACTTCAAATGACGAGTGCTTGAGAAACACTTCAACTGTGACTCTGTGTCAATGTGGCTGGTCACTCTGTATCTGTGCATTTGTGAGAGTACCAGAGCCTTCTGCTGGCGGTCAGCTGACAGCTGGTCCAGGTACCATGGGCCGTTGTCAGTACGGAGGCCCCTGAGGGCCAAACATGGCAGCTGCAGAGCTGAGAGCAGAGAAAGTTCATCTCCAGAGTCCAGAGCTTCATCCACCTGCTCCACCGCTGACCGCACTGAAAGAGATCAACAATGTTATTAATATTCTCTTTAATATTATCGTTAATATCTCTCAGTATATCTGTCTCTCTGCAGCGTACACCTGCACACCTCTCAGGTACCTGAGAAATAAATCATGTGACATTTGGAGTTCGGTCTAATTAATATCCAATTGTGAGACTGACCATTGACCGTTTTGATGTTGTCCTGGATTTCTCTCTGAGTCAGAAGCTCTTCATAGATATCTTTCTCCTCTGGACCTCCACACTGACACACACACACACACACACACACACACACACACACACACACACATTTACCATCAGTGTCTTTACACACACCTGAACAGACAGCAGCTGTGTACGTCAAATACTAAATAACAGCAGATTTCTGTCAGACAGTCTTCTGATTGGACAATCAGACTTTTCTCTGACCAATCAGAACTCAGACTCTCACCTTCTTGGCTGCCTGCTTGTGTTTCCTTGTTTTCGCCTGCTGCAGCATCTCCTGGTAGACGCTCATCAGCGCCTCCTGCAGGTCACTGAGCAGGGCGTTAGGGTTCCTCAGGGCCTTCGCGGTGACCTCCACCTGCCCTCTGTCCACCGCCTCATTAATGGCAATCACCGCCGCATGGACTGATGGGAAAAAACAAAGACTGGGTTACTGTCACCTCCTCCTTCTACATTGTGTGACCTCAGAGCCAATCAGCTTGCCCCTCTGTACCTGCAGCCTCGTCCACTGACAGCTCATTGGCCAGAATTCCTCCGATCTTGTTGAACGCCGGCATCTGAATCCCATATTTATCCAACTCTGACTTCATGTTGTTGATCTCCTCCTCTGAACACACACGCACGCACAGACACACACTTCAGGTTTCTAACATATCAGACAATTTATTGATCTGCCCTATCAACAAGTGAAACTAGGTATAAACAAATAGCTCCTTTAAATGAGCTGAATCTACCTGTCTGTCTGTGAGGAGGAGTCATATTCACCTGAGAACTTGACTTTCCCATCGAGGTCGACGATCTGTGGAGCCAGACCCAGTCTATAAAGGTACAGGCTGCAGAGAGAGACAGACAGACTGTTAACACACAGAGACGGAGAGACAGGCTGCAGAGAGACAGGCTGCTAACACAGAGAGACAGGTGAAGTGACCTGAGTGCGTGGATACAGTAAACAGCTCTCGGCATGTTCTTCTTGTCGTAGACATCTGTAGTTTCTGGTTGGAAGATCTAAAAGCAACAACAAGTGATTATTGATCAATACTCAGATCACCTGATCAAAACTCTGATCAGCTGATTAGTACTCCAGTCAAACAATAATAGTGTGCTCACTGACCGAAGGTAGTCCGAGTGTCGTCATGGCGTTCCTCCAGTGGTTGATGTTGTCAGTGTGACGGAACTGAAGACCCACCGCCTGATCAGATCAATACACAGGTTATTATCGTGTACTGACAGGTTCAAATGCTTTTTGTGTGTCTGTGTCTGTGTGCATGTGACCTGGTAACGGAGCTGGTCGAGGTCGTAGATCTTCTTCACAGGGACAACATTTGGAGCAAATCGATGACCCAGTTTGGCGAGGAGGACTCCGTTCCTCAGCGCCTCCTCCAGCTCAGTGGGAGCAGGAAGCTCCTCTCCAAGACATGCCTCCATCCACCTGAGAGAGTGATGTCATATGTGATGTCATAAAGGTGTATGGACACATGCTGACTGCAGAGGGAGAAGAACCAGTTCAGTGTGGACCTGGAACCTGTCTGAAATTCTGAACCCACAGCTTTGCTCTGACCACAATGAGGTCAATATTTCAGAAGATCCAGTGTAGCACCAAGACTTGGGTTCCAAGGCTGCCTTTCAGCTAATGCCTTCCACCCCTCTACACAGACTGTTTACCTGCTGTTCAGACGTGATTGGTCAATACTACAAGACTACAAACAGAAACCAGCACACTTCAGACACCAAAGTCGCCTTCTGTATATAAGGATTAGATGTGAAGTGGATCCCACTGACCTCTTGGCCTCCTCCAGCCTGCAGAGGTACTGATAGGCCACATTCTGGATCCTCTGTTCATCCATCTGCTCCGCTGTCAGACGCTCATCTGTATAACACATACATTATTATTATTATTATCATTATTATTATTATTATTGGAGCTGCAACAACTAGTTGATTTATCTAGTAGTTGATCAACAGAGACTTGTTAGGTAACTACTGTGATAATCAGATAACAGTCTGAAGAAAAACTACGCAGGATTATCAGTTTGTATAAACCACACCCAGATGCAAACTTCTTTGGCATTTTGCCTCACTTTGTTTGCATATTTCTGGCACAATGCTGGTGCTTTTGATCTGGCACCTGCCTCCTAACTTTTTATAAAGCCCTGACCTCACCTGAGCACTGTGAGCTCACATAAACATCCTGTATACAGAAATAAGAAAACAAAGGCAGAGGACAGAGACTGCAGAAAAACAGGTGATGACTGAGAGGGATTACTTCTGTATAGTGTACACTGATTTTTGAGAAAATCCTGCAGTCTGCCCTGGAGTCATGTTTTATCATTTGCTGCTTTTATGAATGTTAAATGTGAGAGTTTGATGCTTTCCTTTGTCATTCATGATAATAAAGTGAACAGATTTTGATTTTTGGACTGTTGGTCAGATAAAACAAATCACCTAAAGAAGCCACCTTGGGCTAAAACCACATCAGGACATGTTTTTCTGACATTTTACTGACGAAACGATTAATCAATCAATCGAGAAAATAATGGTCAGATAAATCAGTAATGAAAACAATCGTTAGTTGCAGTCCTGTTAAATTATTCTGATGCAATATGAATCTGTAAAACACATATTCGACCATAAAAGCTGAAAAAACGATATTACATATTATAATTATTTACATAATAAGCATAAGACGTTTAAACCTCGCGTAGGAAAGAACTACTTGTGTTTAAGTGTTATAAGTTTTGTAGGTTAAGGTTACATTTGAATAAATAATGAAGTGTGTTTGTGTCACTGACGTTTCTGCCAAAAAAGTCACTTCAGTTACTGTCATTTTTATAAACCGTTATAAACCATATCAACTGACACTTAACATTTAACGGAATGTGTCACTTTTATAACGATTAAAAACTTAAGTTAAACAAACATGAAGAGGTTCGGAAAAAGTTTAACTCACAGCGTCCGGATGAATCCGCCATGTTGGCTCCGTTTCTCCGTCCTCAGGCCAGCAGGATAATTTAATGTTTATTCAGCTTCTCGGTGACAAAAAATGTAATTATAGAGCTCTCCGGTGCGATGTGACCGTAAAAACGTGTAAAAGTCGGTCCTGTCAGTTTCAAACCGTCCTCGGATGCTCCGAGCTGCTTCCGGTATGAAGTTTGAAAGCTCCCGCCGCTCTCTGATTGGCCGAACGACCAGCCGCCCTTCCCATTGGTCAGAACGTTGTCGCGTTGGATTGTGGTCTCTGTATTTCCCTGTCGTTAGATTAAAAACACTTATGGTAAGTTTTTAACATGGACTAGGGTCGCATTTTAGACATCACACTCTTTGTTAGATCGTTTTTTTAATTATTTATTTTTTCTTTTTATCTTCTAATTCGTTTCCTGTGTGGTCGTTTCGATGTTGCCATAGCAACGGAGTCACCTACAGTCAGCCATGGCACACAGCAGATGTTTCTAGCTTCTTCATTAAACACTTGACTCCAAAACCATATCGATCTTACATAAAAACTGTTAATGATATCTGAACAGCTCAGTATGGAAGATCTTCATCTTCATCTTCACCTGGAGACAGTAAGTGTTGTTTCACTGTGAGCTGCTGAAGGCGGCTAACAGCAGCTAATGTTTACTGTTTACTGCCATGGAGGTTTTTATTTATAAGGAAGCTGCCTCGGTGTTTGGAGCATATTAGGAGGAACAAAACATAAAAATACAAAAAAGAATAAAGATACAATAAAGATATGAAAAAGATACTATAGAAATATAACAAATATGAACTGTAACTGTTTTACATTGCGAGTTTAGCGCAGGATATGCAAACATAAAGATCAGAGAGGGTTCATATAGAAGAGAAATATTTGGATTTAATGGTAAATAATTAGATGTTACAGCAAAAGTAATAGATATGAAACATAAACACAACTGAAAAAGTGTAAGACATGATCATTATTGCTGATATTATATAATATACATAAAATACTTTAGTATACTGTATCATACTGTTCCACCTATACATCTGATACACAGTTTTACTGCTATAATCTATGTTATACTGGATTATTATTTAAGATTATAACTACTACTACTTTTACATTTCACCTGACACTATATCTTACACATGAGGAATGTACTTTTTGGTAAAAGTGAACTCTATTCATTTTGATTTCTTTTGGTTGGATGATCATGAAAAATTTGAGTTTTGCTTCAGAAAGGGAACCTTTTTTGTGGCTGAATTTCTTTGCCAGGCCTGGGATAGAAGACAAAGGTTTCTGTGTCAGGACTGAGCAGTAAAATAATATTATATTATTATTATTTCATATCTCCTACAGTTGAGATTTATTTGGTAAGCGGCTTCTCTGGAGAATCCAGTTATATGTTCATGTGCTTATTCCTCCAGCAGAGGGCGCTGTTAGCTTAGTTTTTAGCTTCATCAATCGAAATCTCATCTGTTTCACAGCAGTATAAACGTTTGAGCTCGAAACCGCGGCCGACTCCAAAACTTTAACTTCTGAAACTTTAAGTAGCTGTTCAGTCATATCACATGTTCTTCATCAGGAGAGTAGATACTGATAAATGAACCTTGAGGTGAGAATGATTTGTTAATATAATATTTAACAAACCAAACCAAACCACTAATTTGATCATTTAAAAGGACATTCATCAGGTTTGATGTTTTCATATCTGTATGTGTTTCCTATGACTCTGTGAGTGAAGTTACTTTTTCTCCTGCAGGTCCAACATGGCGTCTGATGCGTCTCCTCCAGGTGATGATGAGGTGAAGGAGAGGAGGAGGAGGAAGAGGAGGGAGCGGGAGGTGAGGAGGAAGGAGGTACAGGATGTGGACATTGAGGAGTTAACATCCGCTGGTCACAGAGCTCTGCAGGAGGGACGTACTGAAGACGCTCTGAGCTACTTCAACAACGCTCTGAAGGCTGCAGGACAGGTGAGACTGATGAGGTCAAAGGACACCTACAGGTGAGACTGATGAGGTCAAAGGTCACCTACAGGTGAGACTGATGAGGTCAAAGGACACCTACAGGTGAGACTGATGAGGTCAAAGGTCACCCACAGGTGAGACTACTGAGGTTAAAGGGCACCAAAAGGAAAGACTGCTGAGCTCATAGGTCACAAACAGGTGAGACTACTGAGGTTAAAGGTCATCATCAGCAGATAAGACTGCTAAGTTTAAAGGTCACCAACAGGTGTGACATCTGAGGTAAAAGGTCACCAACAGGTGAGACTGCTAAGGTTAAAGGTCACCAACAGGTGAGACTGCTAAGGTTAAAGGTCACCAACAGGTGAGACTGCTAAGGTTAAAGGTCACCAGCAGGTGAGACTGCTGAGGTCAAAGGTCACTAACAGTAACAACAGCAGTACCTTCAGGACTCCCTAAACCCTTGTGAGTGTAATTAATTTCCCATGATGCTCTGCTTCTCATCAGCTGCAGGACTCTCGGGTCGTCCGGGCCTGTTCCTTTAACCTTGGTGCAGCCTACGTGGAGGCGGGACAGCCTAAGAAGGGTCTGGACCTCCTGTGTCAGGCTCAACCTGGTCCGAAGGCCGACCGGCTCCCAGATCTCCAGTTCAACCTGGCCCTGGCCCACAATGCACTGGGGCAGAGCCAAGAGGCATCTGCCTACTTCCTGCAGGCAGCTCAGCTGTACAGATCACAGGGAGACGGAGGCAGCGAGGGAGACGCCTGCATGGAGATGAGCCGCTGCTACAGCAGAGCACAGGTCAGAACCTGGAACAGGACCAGAGCAACAGAACAGGGGTTAACAGGTGACCTGCGAGATGTCAGGTGAAAGGTGTGACAGGGGTGTGTGTGTGTGTGTGTGTGTGTGTTGTAGGACTGGTCTCTGGCGGTTCAGGGTTTCCTGAGGGCTGCAGAGAGTTACAGAGTGGCAGACATGTTGGATTCTGCAGCCACAGCCCTCAAAGAGGCAGGAAGTCACATGCTCCAATCAGATCAGTTCAGTCATGATGACATCATTGGCGTGCTGGCAGAGTGTCTGAGTTTGACAAACAGCATCACCGACCCGAGGATTCTGGGTATTACATCATCTTACATTTCATTTTACTAAACACAGCATGAAATTACAAAAGAACATTTACAAACAATATGATTTTAATATATGACATCATCATAATTGACTTATTGATTATAACTTATTGATTGTTGTCCAGGTGAGCTGTACCTGTCAGTGGGCGTGTCTTACTGTCAGCTCAGGTGTTTCCAGGAGGCGGTGCAGTGTTTCCAGCAGGCTCTGGGCCCCACAGCTCAGCATCCCCCTCTGCTGGCCAAAGTGCTGCACAACCTGGGAGCCGCTCTGAACTCTCTGGGCCAGTTCACACCTGCTGTGGAGTACCACAGGCTGGCTGCTGGACTCTACGGTGAGTCACCTGTTAAGTCACCTGTCGAGCAATCACACTGATCACCTGTCAGTCAGGTTCTGTACTGATCCATTATCTCAGAGCAGAAAGCCATCCCTGAACTCTTTAAAGAAAACAATCACACCAGTGTTCACTGTGAGGTCCCATAATGCACTGCACACGTTCAATATCATATCATGTAATAATATACTGTGCAGGCGGATATATATGTGTATTTGTGTGTGTACACAGGCTCTCTGGGTTACCGTGGCGACCAGGCTCGGTGTTTCAGTAACCTGGCGTTTGCCTGCAGTCAGCTGGGTGATGAAGAGGAGGCAGCAGAGAGCTTCTTGCACGCTCTGCAGGGATTCAGAGACACAGGTAACATTAGTAACTTCTTTATCACTGTTTATTACTATTTATTATTGTTAACTAATGTTAAATCATGATTATTAGTGTTAACAAATATTAATTGGTGTTTATTATTTATTATCCATGTGTATTTTGTTAATCAATATTTATTTGTTTTTTGTTTTAGTTTTTATGAATGTGTGTTAATGTGTAAATAATATGTTATTTGTGTTTATGTTAATGTATATTAGTGCGTATTAATGTTTATAACAATATATTAATGCCAATTAGTTTTTATTAATGTTTTTTTATGATAATTAGTCTTAACCAATATTTATTAGCGTTTATTAATTAGTGCTTATGCTTATTGTTTATCTGTGTTTTTTTTTTTGCTTTCATGAATTACGTTAATATGTAATATATGTTTATAAATATTTGTTGAAGTGCATTGATGTTTATTACTGTTTATTCATGTCTATTCATGTTTAATGTTTATTGGTCTTTATTAATGTGTATTAGGTTTTCTTGGTGTTTATTAATTTCATTCACATTTATTAATGTTGAGCAACATTTATAATTGTTTATTGATAAATAATTAGTGTTTATTAATGTGTATTTATAATTATTTTTGTTAATTAATACTGTTTTGGTTGGTTCTCATTATTTACATTTATTGATGTTTAGTAATGGTTTTTAGCTTTTATGAATGTGTGGTAATAGTGTGTTATTTATGTTTTTGTTTATGTTAATGTGTATCAATGCTTAATGATTATTTACTGATGCTAATTAGTGTTTATTAAGGTTTATGGGTATATATGAATTATTTATTCACATTTATTAATGTTTAGCAAAGTTTACTATAGTTTATTAATGTAGAATAACAAAAGTACTATTATCTCCATTGATATTTTATTTGTCCGTTGTTGTTGTTGTTTTTAGATTCATATTTCCATCCTAACACCAGTCAGAGTGGGTTACTGTCATTTGTTCTGTCAGTTTGAACATCACTGTGTTGTCATGACAACATGAAACAATTACTGTAAAGCTGCCAAGCAGAAAGTCTCACTGTTTTCAGATTATAAACTGTGAGGAAACATATCATGCGACAAATTTAATAATCAAACACGAACAAATTAAATAGAGGCTGTAACAGCTGACAGCAGCCGGAGGGACACAATGATTCAGTCTGACATTAAAAGCAGAACGCTGAAATATTCAACAGGAGACGAGTCTGAATCTGTCACTTTAATGTTCTCACCTGTCTGTCTGCAGAGGACCACATGGCTCAGGTTCAGGTGTGTGAGTCGTTAGCCGAGTGTTTCCTGAAGCAGAGGAAGCAGCACAAAGCTGTTCAGCTCTACAAACAGGCTCTGACGGCTCTGTCTCACTGCAAGGTAAAAACACACCTGTGTGTTAATGTGAAGGGGTCAAAGGCCAGAGGTCACAATGAGATTAACATGATCATTTTGCACCAATGCTTACATCATTCTGACCAGTCAGAGGTCTTTCTTCTCTTTCAGGACAGTTCTGGTGATATCCGGGATCGACTGGTGGAGCGTCTGACGGCAGCTCTGCAGCAAAGTGTGCAGGTGTGATCACATGACCCGGAACACCACACAACACCTCTGGCCAACCAGAAGACCACATCACACCTCCGATCTAATACAAAGAAATTATTAACAGGAGTGTGTTGTACACTTGATGTTGTCCTTATTAATCAGGACTTTTTTTTTCTTTCACCTTTTTTTTTTCACACTCAGAGACCACGTCCACCAAGACCACACCCTTTCAGCCCACCTGTCGGACAGCAGATCAGGTAACAGCCAATCAGCTCTCAATGTCACTGTGATAGACTGTAATCTATCAATACTGGCCGTGGTTGGTGATCAGTTCAGTCCTTATAAATCTGCTCCACCCTCCTCACAGGAAGAGTGATGTCACACAGAGTCCAGGCAGAGCGTCCAATCAGCAGCCACATGATCAGAGGGGGGAGGGGCAAGGTGAGTCTCACCTGTTCCAGGTAGAAACAGGCAGAATAAGACCACAGAAGATGAGACAAAGGTCCACAGTCTAAGAACTTTGTTTTCTTTGGCAGGATCACAGCAGGAGGCCACAGGTAGACAGGAAGCAGCAGAGCATTCTGGGTCAGCAAGAGATGGAGCCACTGAGGGACCTGAGTACATGAGCATGGCACCTGGACTGCACAGGTAACACACATATTAATATTCATACAGTTCAACTGTTATTAATGATTTCATTTTATTAATCTCCTATGACCTGACCTGCAGGTCCTCAGATGGGCCCTGACCCAAAGGTTGAGAACCCATTTCTGTTGTTACCATGAACATTTGTGTCTCTGTGTTCCCAGTTTAGACCAGGCAGACCAGTCAGACCGGCCTCACACTGACAGGTAACTGACACCCGTCAATCAAATCACACCATAAACTACTATATCTACATTTAATAAATAAACTTCAAATAAAAGAGGAAGTGAGCTGAGCCTGATAGTTTTTTGTTTTGTTTTTTCCCAGTGAAACCTCATTGGTCCAGGAGGCAGCGGCTCCGCCCACCAGTCCAGGTGGCATCAGAGAGACCACAGCTCTTGTAGCCAGGTGGAGGTCTCGGTTCTGTTCACTGATGTAGACTCACAAGGCTGATGCTGTAATCGATCGTTTATTGATTACTGACCTTCAATCTGGACTTCAAATGAAGAGTCTGGAAAGTCTGGAGGATTTTAAGACTGAAATACAGATACAGTATGTGTGTGAGTCATTTATCAGACTGACCGTTCCTTTAGAAACAGGAATAATTATTATCATCACCAGCCGCGACAACAGTGGTGCTGTTTTAACCTTGTGAGTCTGTGTGGGGGATCGCGGTCTCCACACTTTACGCCACAGGCCCACATTCACTTTAAGTCACAGACTGCTGTATTGCAGCTGGAGTGATCCCAGTGTGAGATGGTCTCTAGTTATTGTTATTAATATAAATAACATCAGCGTCTCCTGGTGATGATCAGTTGATTATCTCTGCCGTAAAAACTTTCTCAGGATCAGATTTATTTTCCCGCTGATACATCCTGACTCATGTTTAATACATCAGAGACTTTATTCTGCTGATCAAGCACACACACACACACACACACACACACACACAAACCCTGTACTTCTATACTTATGAGAACCCTCATTGACAAAATGCATTCCCTAGACCCGAAACCTGATTCTCCTGAACCTCAAGAGTCAGAACCCTCAAACACACCTCTGAAGGTCTGTCTAAAGTTGAGAACCAGACAAACTGTCCTCACTTTCCAAAAATGTCCTCACTCTCAATGTCCAAAACTCAAATTGGTTCTCAGAGATAGATGTAAATGTGCACACATGATGATGAATGTTGTTACATGTGTAACTGTTGTCAGAGAGGAACATGATCTAAAATAAAGAATAATTCTATCTTCACATTCTGGGTCTTTCACTTTCACTATAAGGTAAGTGCCTTTAAAAGAACACCGGGAATGTAGAGAACTTTGAGATGGCCAAGAACATCACGAGTGTCAAGAGCACTGAGAGAGTCAAGAACTTCAAGAACAAAAAGAGCATCAAGAGTGTTTAGAATGTCGAAAACACCAAGAGCATAAAGAGTGTTGAGAACACCCAAAACATTTAAGAGTATCGACAACATCAAGAGTGCTGGGAACACCAAAAACATAGAGAGCTTCAAGAACATTGGCAGCATCAAAAACATTGAGAGCATCAAGAGGGTTGAGAACGCCGAAATAATTGGGAGTATGAAGACCATCAAGAGTGTCAAGAATGTTAACAGTGTCAAAAGTGTTGAGGACAGCAAAGACATTGTGGCATCAAGAGTGTTGACATCATTGAAAATATCGAGAGCTTTAAGAGTGTTCCGAATGTTCGGAGCTTCAAGAGTGTTGAGAGCATCGAAAACATAGAGAGCATCAATTACATCAAGAGCTTCAAGATCAACAAGAGCGTTGAGAAATTTAGAGCATCAAGTCTGTAGAATGCCAAAAACATCAAGTGAATAAAGAGCATTGAGATTGCCGAAAATACTGAGATTATCTAGAACATCAAGAGCGCTGAGAACATTAAGAGTGTCAAGAGTGTTGAGTGTTGAGAATGTCGTAAACATAGAGAGCATCAAAAACAAGAGCTTCAAGAACACTGACAGCGTCAAGAGCATTAAGAGCATAGAGAACTTCAAGAACATCAAGAATTGAAAACATCGAGCATCAAGAACAACAAGAGCTTCAAGAACATTGGCAGCGTCAAGAGTATTAAGAGCGTAGAGAACTTCAAGAACATCAAGCACTGAAAACATCAAGAGCATCAAGAACAACAAGAGCTTCGAGAACATTGGCAGCGTCAAAAACATTGAGAGCATCAAGAGTGTTGAGAACGCTGAAAACATTAAGAGTATTAAGACCATCAAGAGTATCAAGAATGTTAACAGTGTCAAATGTGTTGAGAACGCCAAAAACATTGCGAGTGTCAAGAGTGTTGACATCATTGAAATATTGAGAGCTTTAAGAGTGTTCTGAATATTTGGAGCTTCAAGAGTGTTGAGAACATCAAAAACATAGAGAGCATCAAGTACATCAAGAGCTTCAAGAATACTGACAGCGTCAAGAGCATTTAGAACATAAAGAAGTTAAAGAACACCCTGAAAACATCAAGAGCATCAAGACCAACAAGAGCATCACGAACGTTTTGAGCGTCAAGAGTGTTGAGAACATCGAAAACATAGAGAGCATCAAGAACAGAGTGTCCAAAACGTCAAGAAAATTGAGTGTTGAAAACATTAATTTGCAGGAGGAGAAAAACAGAATTAAGTGGTGTTGCTAAAAAACAGATTCTAATACAAACATACACAGAACAGTTGTGATACATCAGGAGACTCATTGATTAATGTGATATTTCAGATCAGTTTCACCTTCAGGCTGCAGATTATTAAATCAGGAACAGGAGGATTTTCACAGCATGAAATTCAACCTGAATCAGCAGACTAACACACTGCACACACACACACTGTACACACACTGTACACACACTGTACACACACACACACACACACACACACTGTACACACACACACACACACACACACACACTGCGCACACACTCACGTTGAGCTCCTCCTCCCTGCGCTGCCGTCTGAAGGCTTCTCCTCAGTGTTTCAGAAGCTTGCTGCAGTCAACACTGATCCAGATCTGATCGCGTTTTGTTCTCCAGGGTTCTTCGGGGTCCTCTGTGGGTTCCTGAACAGAGAACATGAAGAAGAGAAACATTCAGAACTGCTGATCAGGTAACAACACTTTCTCTTTCACAGTAAAAGCCTTGCTGATAGACAGAACAAAACCTGATCAGTGTGATGATCTATAATTAATAATGAGAAGACATGAAGCTGTAAAGAAAACAGTATATTTCTAACATTGACATAAACACTGACGGCTGTTTACTGTTAGACTGATTCATATTTATATGTCAATCATTATCAAACATGTTTTAAACTGAAAATAGGAAAATATTCCTTTGCATTCTTTCAGCCAGTAATTTATTTTTATCTCTAATTTGAGTTTTTATTTCATAAAGTGTATTTTCATGGGTTTGAAAAGTTAAATGTTTGATTGACTGATTCTGTAGATCTGATCAGGTTCTTACTGATGAGCCCTGAAATTAGTTTTACCAGATTTCAGTTGTTTAAAGTACAAACAATATTATCTTCTCCTGCTAGCTGCTCTCTGTTAGTAATGAACGCTTTGTTTCATCTTTAATAAAACAATAATAATAAAAAGAATAAGAATAAATTATAAAAATGTTGAATTGTTCCTTTAAAACTGACGTGAAGTTGTGTAAACAGGTCGATTGGCTGACACATTCATGACATCACAGACCGATGAGGTCATCATATTCATTAGCAGTTAGCATCATAGATTTTAATAATAACTAGATTCCAGATGGCAAAATGGCACCTTTCCATTCCAATAGAGTTGCTCACCCGGCACATACGCCAAAAAAAGTTTCTAGCTTTCTGGTTTACTTGCACAGTATACAGCCCACTGAATATGCGTCGTAGTGTTTCTCCCGCTGGCTTATAGACTTTACATTGTAATGACTTCACTGATTTTTAAATTGTTTTTCTCAGGTCCATAAAGTTTTACAAATATAAAACGGATAAAAAAATTCATAATAGAAAGGGTCATAATTGACCTTGCTTGCGGTTCAAACTGTCCTGTCAGCAGTTTAACGGACATCTCTGTTTTGTAATATAATGATGGTCTATGAGGAAAATGCTTTTTGGGATGCAGGGGACGTTTTTGCTGCAATACTGCCAGTGGCCACTGAGAAAAGCTGGCTGAAAGGCTGAGCAGCGTTCCTGGGGCCTGGTTAGCATGTGTCTTTGGTACTGTATCCCTCAAAAAGGGGTGTGGCCTTAATGTTTTGTGAAGTAGCTGTATGTGCCGGTCTGGTCTGGTGGCAAATGCAGTTAGCTGGTGGCAGGAATGTCTGAGTGAGTAAAGTTTGATAGCGGTTTGCTCATCTGCAGATGCCTGGGAAGTAAGTCTTTAATAATGTATGGCTATATCGTTATGTAGGTTTACCTGTTTTAAACTACTTAAATACAGTCATGAAAATGGGGTAAAATATTATGGGAAAGTTATGGAGAAGTTTTGAAAGTTCATTGATAAAAATGTGAGGGAGTCCTGTCAGGATGAGGTCTGACTGACCTGGTCCGTACGAGGCTCTGATGTGGATTCTTTAAATGAGGGGAAGAAGGCTGTGATTGGGCAGATTGTGGAACAAAACTGTTGTGGTTCATCTTCAATTTTCTGTGTTTCACCAGACAAACATGGAGGCCTCCCTGGGTCCTGGATTTAACTGGTGTGACAAAAGCGCTTATAACACAGAGATTGCACTATAGGGCCACTGCAAAGTAAGTTACTTACGCCGTCTTTGCATTTTTATACAGAACCAAACAACAGTATCATTCTGCTCCAGTGTGTGGTTTTAAACAGCATGTCGGCATCACAGAAGCAAAACACGCACGACCGGCGTGATGTGTATGACAACAGCATCGGCCTCTAGGGTGACATATAACATAGGCATAAGGAGCGCTTTTTAAAAAATAACAATGGCATTAACAATCATGTACCAGGGTGCCAGGAGGCTTAGTGGGTAGAGCAGGCGTCCCACATACGAAGGCAATGTCCTTGCCGCAGCTGCCGTAGGCTCAACTCCAGCCTGCGGCTCTTTGGTGCATGTCATCCCCTTTCTCTCCCCAGTTCATGCTTAGACTCTCCTGTCTACTAAAGCCAAAAGATAATCTAAGAACAATAATTTACTGTCTCTGTTATATGGAGGCTGATCTTGTCCTCTGCTTGGAGAGTAAGGAGCTCCTGGACCCAGCTGTTTTCACAGTTTGCAGACATTTTCAGCTGCTGTCCTTCTTCGAGTTAGCTGCTAACTGCTGCTAGCTGCTTTTTCAATCTCCTGGCAGTGGGTCACACATGTAACATGTCATCAGTGCGTCACACTCGTCCCTTCCTGCCAGCTGTCTCTGTTACACAGATATTAATTCAGTGCTGATACTACCTCCATTGACGACTTAGAGGCGAGATAGTGTGATGTCATTACATCATCCCTGTTCACACATGCAGTCTATCCCTGAAAAGAAACATTCACTGCATGGGGTCGTGTGTGAATGGAAGCAGGGACTGATATTCAGGGAAATCTGCACCTCCAATCCCCCACCTCAAGACCAAGTAACATTTCAGAGAAGATACCAGTATGACTGTGTTGTGAATGAAAGCAGTAACATTGCAGGGACGAGCACGTAAAGGGTTACGTTGTGAAGTGAGCAAAAACTATAATAAGACTCAGCTGAAGACATACTTGAATCTGCGACCTGTGTAGGATTATAAGCAGCATTACTTGTCTCGCAAACTGGTTGAATATCAAATACATGACAGGAACACTGGCATTGGACAGAAAAACTCCTCAGCCGCCATGTTCCTCAGAACAATAACAGATGTCTTCCGCCACATACACGCACACCCGGCCTCGCCCCATCCTCTTCTTCTATTGAGTTTTATGGCAGTTGGCATGACCACCACCTGCTGGCCTGTCTCCTCCCCAATTATTCCAGCACCCCCATGGCCTGTGAGAACAGAATCAGGATGGATAGATGTTCCTGAATGTGTACGTGTGAATAGTGAAACTGATGAGCAGCGCCTGAAAGGTTATCGCTGTGATTTACTGGAAATGTGTGTGAGGGAGGCTCATGATTCAGGGGGGTAATTTCAGCCTATCAACTCTGCTGGTCTGCAGCAAGGTGGAGGTTGCCAAGGTGACATCAACACACACACACACACACACACACACACACACAGGATCCTGCGGCCAAAAATAACTGCAGAGAGCTTTTTGCTGTAACCTGACCTCTGTGTGTGTGTGTGTGTGTGTGTGTGTGTGTGTGTGTGTGTGTTCCTGTCAGAGGAATCAATATCACCTGAATTTGATAGATGATATTTGTTGTATTCTGTCTCAGGTGTAAATTTTATTTATGGAATTGTATTTCCCAGCTTTTATTCTGAAGGACCTGTTTGCATGTTTTATTGATCACTGATCAGAGAGAACAGCATCAACAACATGAAGTCATTAATGAGCCAGTGAAGGATCATCGCAGTGCTAATGAGCTCTTTAAAGGTCCAGTGTGCAGGATTTAGAGGCATCTAGCAGTGAGGCTGCAGAACAGAGACTTCTCTCATGAATGGCCCTATCTAGAGTCAGTGTTTTGTTTGTCCATTCTGGGCTACTGTAGAAACAACACTGTGGACTCCATGGAAGAGGACCCGCTCTGCATGTAGTGATTATAAACTAATGAAAATAGAATTATGAATGTTATCTTCCATTTCTGCCAAAGGACCTTTAATTAACACTTGAACAGCCGAAACAGCAGTCAGCCGACTCCTCATTGGTCGGTGTGAATCAGTTACCATGGTAACCGCTCAGGTTCTCCACAGAGTCTTTGTGCGCAAACGAGACTCTAATCTCTGATCTTTAATCAGCACAGACTGACAGGAAGTCTCTGTCACAATAAGAGCTGATGGACTGTTGGCTGCTAGATAAACAGACAGGCAGACTGGTGGTACACAGGCATCCAATCAGAGCTCAGCGGGCAATTCTGCTTCAGTCGCACAAGATCAAATAAAAACAGGAACACCTGAGCTCGGCTCCAGTCACACTGTGTCTGCTGTTATAGTTCACAGCAGTGGTTCTCAACCTGGGGCTCCGGACCACATGATAAGTTTGAGAGGTAACGAGACATCCTAAGCTAAAAGAGAAGAAAAACAGCAGAAAAGCAGTGGCAGGGCGCTGGGGAGCACTTCATCGCAGCACTTCTTTAAAAAGCACTCTCTGCACTTTTTTTTTAATGACGTGCAATGCATGGGTTTTGTATCTTGACACTAACATTAGCTAGCGAGCTAACGTGATGCTACACTAATAGAGGGTGGACTACACAGTTAACAACAAGCCTACAACACATACAGTGATGAAAGCACAACATTTACCACCACTGGGCTTTTCTGTTGGTTAGACAGTAGCCCAGCTGAAGGAGCAGCAGTGATGTTACCAGCGCCTTTCTGAAAAGTTTTTCTAGAAGTGCTTGAAGCGGCTGCACAAGAAAGCCAGAGCGCTCTGAAAAAAAAAAAAAAAACGCTATGTGGACATGGGCCCTTAATGCTAAAACAAAACAAAAAAAAACTTTCGACCTGTGTCACACAAATGGTCACTGGCTCACGTATGACCGTAACCTCAGTCTGTTGACAGTCTCAGCGCTGGTCGTCTGATTCAACCTTTGCTGCAACACAATGTGACATCCAGTAAGACTTAGCAACGGCCAATCAAATGGATGCAAGCACATATTACATAGGTCTGCTGCCTCACGGTTGCCGTGACAACAAATCAAATAGACCTCTAGACACGTACAGATGAGACTGATGTCTTTCTGAAACATTCACCTAAGTGTTGGGACTATTCCTTTAAAGTGTCCACACACCAGCTGTGACATCACTCATGACCTTCTTCTTCTTCTCTGCAGGATGTCAGGTAACTGGTCCCCCTCTCCCAACACCTCCCAGTTCCCCCCTCTCACAGACTGGGAGGCCCCCACCTTCACCCGTGCTGCTCAGTTCCGCGTCGGAGCCACGTTCATCCTCTTCCTGTTTGCTGCCTGCAGTAACCTCGCCCTATTTGCCAGCGTGTGGTGTGGGCGTGGTCGGCGTCTGGCGTCTCACCTGCGGCCGCTAATGTTGAGCCTGGCGTCAGCTGACCTGATGATGACATTTGTGGTGATGCCTCTGGATGCCGTGTGGAACGTTACAGTGCAGTGGTATGGAGGAGACGTGCTCTGTAAGCTGCTCTGCTTCCTGAAGCTGTTCGCCATGCACGCCTCTGCCTTCATCCTTGTTGTCATCAGCCTCGATCGCCAGCACGCCATTCTGCACCCGCTGGACGCCCTGAACGCGCACCGCAGGAACCGACGCATGCTGCTGCTGGCCTGGAGCCTCAGCCTGGTGCTTGCATCACCACAGGTAACAGGTGACCACAAGTTAAGTGTGAAAACAGGTAACACCTGATGAGAGGTAAAACTTGACCACAGGTAACTGGTGGCGACAGGTAGGATGTGACCCCAGGTAACACTTGACCGCAGGTGGCACGTGACTGCAGGAAACATTTAACCACAGGCACGTGATCACAAGTAGCACGTGGCAACAGGTAGCACTTGACCACAGGTAACACGTAACGACAGGTAGGACGTGACCCCAGATAACACTTGACCACAGGTGGCATGTGACTGCAGGTAACATTTGACCACAAGCACGTGATCACAGGTAACTGACAGGTGACCACAGGTAACACTCGACCACAGATAATAAGTGACCACAGGTAACACATGACAACAGGTAGTACCTAACCACAGATAACATGTGAGCACAAGTAATATGTAATCACAAATAAAAACTGACCACAGGCAACAGGTGACGAGAGGTAACAAGTAACCACAGGTAACACTTGATGAGAGGTGACAACAGGTGGCACGTGTTACCTGTTGTCAAGGGCAAACACATATACCACACATAAACCACACTCGTCACTGCTGAGGTTTGTTATTTACATAATACACACACACACGCACACAGCTCTGTGGCTGTTTTTTTCTCCTCTCATCTTCTAAATATTTCATCCAGCAGCTACAGAATAGTTACAAAGCAGCTCAGAGCTTCACATGAGTCTGTCTTTAATATTAATATTTAACATTAATATTTATGATATGATAATCTGGTGAGCTGCACCAAAGGACAAAGTGAAGGTGATCTGTTCATCTTCCTGTCTGATTACAGAAGAGCCTTCATGTGATCAAGTGTTCAGCTGCAGATTATTTTATCAGTGGATGCACACAAGTACACATATATCATTATCATTATCATTATTATCAAAGTCTTCCTGTTCTCTGATGCAGGTGAAAGTTTCTCCATCAGGTGAAAGAACCTGAAATCCCTGCAGGAATGTTCTGGTTTCTGATGGAGAGATTAAACGTGTGAGACCTCCTGCTGTTAGCTCGAGCTAACTGCTCCCCTTGATTTTTATAAAGAATGCTAACAATGCTAAACGGCCACCAACTGGAAAACACAGCTCAAACAAACTGTTTAGTTTCACTGAATACAGCAGCAGAAACCCCGTTTATGAACCAGTTCATCAGGAGTCACACTGGAAGTCAAGTTGGGAGGAAACCAGAATCATTTACAATAAATAAATTATACTCTGGGATCTAATAATAGAGTTGTTTGTCTCATCAGCAGATGATCTCTTAATTATTAAACTGCAGCTGAATGTGTTCAAATTAAAGTTTCTGCAGAAACACCATGTGTTCTTTTACATTTCTGTAAAACTACTCTGCAACAGCAAACGCAATTTTTTAGTCCATCAGGACTGATGGCCTGCTCTGAGAATCTTAATAAGCCTTACCTGGACTCCACCTGAATCCTCTGTCTGTCTCCCTGCAGCTGTTTATCTTCCGGACGATCAGGGTGGAGGCCGTGGACTTCACTCAGTGTGCCACTCACGGCAGCTTCAGCCACCGCTGGCAGGAAACTGTTTACAACATGTTTCACTTCATCACGCTGTACGTCGTCCCCCTGCTGGTGATGAGCTGCTGCTACAGCCGCATCCTGCTGCACATCCACCTGCAGCACCTGAGAGACAAAGGTAAGACACACCTGTAACATACCTGTACATCCTGCAGCACCTAAGAGACACACATGTGCTACACTGACACAGTGTGACATCACTAATGGAGCCCCTCCCTCTCTCAGCAGGTGAGTCGTACCTGCGTCGCAGTGGCACTGACATCATCCCAAAGGCTCGCATGAAGACTCTGAAGATGACTGTGGTCATCGTGCTGTCCTTTGTGGTGTGCTGGACTCCGTACTACCTGCTGGGGATTTGGTACTGGTTCCAGCCCGACATGTTGCGCGTCACACCTGAGTACGTACACCACGCCCTCTTTCTATTCGGGAACCTGAACACCTGCTGCGACCCCGTCATCTACGGCTTCTACACGCCATCCTTCAGGGCTGACCTCGCCGCCTGCTGCCGCAGGACGAAGAGTGACGCTTCGCTGCGATCTCCGGACCGACTGTCTGCCAGGCAGGATCCTCACAGCGCGGAGCATGAGGCGGACCCCGCCACCAACAACCAGCCTGCAGGAGACTAACAGTAGCCAATCAGAGGACAGAATTTAAATGATGTCACATTTTGTACCTGAACACTGTCAAAGTGTGGAAACAAGTACTGGATCAGCTGAAGGCGGATCAGGACTCTGAGTCTTTCAGCGGGACAAAAACCTCTTTATTATGATTCTGTTTCAGAGAGACTTCAACCAATTGATCAGTTTTACAGGATCGATTATTGATTTTATTCCCATTTAGAGTCATTTGATCAAAATAAAAGCAGATCTGTGAGACTGCTTCTTTTCCTGTAAATCTGACCTCCACTGGTTTAAAAGAATACCTCACCTGCAAAATGATCACATATAAAACATTTACTCACCGTGTTACCTTGAAGTCATGAAGAAACTCGAGATGTCACTGTTTAGTCTCACATAAAGCTGCTCTGCACTCAAACACCATTTTATATTGTTATTGGTAGTAGTAGTCATAGTAAATGTAAAAAACAGTTGAATGTTCATTGTCAAGTTAAAAATACATAAACAAGGTTTTCTCTTCACTTCTACACAACGGGATAAGAACCCACGTGACCGATTCAGTTACTGTGTTGTCTATTTCTCACCTGAAATATATTTTAGTGCAGTGTTTGGCTGAACTATGACACTTTGTTAACAGTAGCAGCCATACTGTTTCATGTTTTGTAAAAACAGGCTGAAAAACTGAGATTAAACTGTAAAACTTCACATTACTGGTCAAATATTGACCAACATTCTGTTCTGTTGTCTATTTCTCACATAAAATGTTTTTAGAAGCATATTGTATCTCACCGTTTAACTGTAATTCAAGCTTGTCTGTTACCAGCCAGCCGCCATATTGTTTTCAAAGGATAAATGTCCAAGCTCGCATTACGTCATCCACCAGCGGCGCATTGCATTCTGGTAGTTGTAGGTTTTCTACTTCTTGAGCAAAGACAGCGCTGTTTCTCGTTATTCTCTGGTCATTTTGCGCCAGTTTCAAAAGTATTTCTGTCCTCTCCTATAGACAGATTAGTTTTATGAAAATACCATATTGAGCACAAAACAGTCAGAGGAAATAAAACAACTGATGGAGATTAATCAAAGCATTTCTGTCACAAAAACAACAAACATTAAAACCTGGTTTGGTTAAATAAGAGAAAACAAGTGAACGTCACCTGCACTTGTGAAACTTTATTAGAGTCAGCATTCTGATTTAAAACTCAGAACTCAAATCCGTTTTTCATACGTAGCCATGCTCTTCTTCTGTATGTAGGCTACTGAACTTCATCGGCTGCTTTGCATAAAAATATGAGAGATAAATATAAATAAGAGAAGAAAACATTTTTAGAGGTTGAATCAGCAGGGAGTAGTTTAAAGGACACACTGATCACACCTGTACACCTGAAGAAAAAGAATTTCTGCTGTTAAGTTGAGGATTTTAACAAGAGGGGTTTATTAGGGGTGGGAATCACTAGAGCCTTTACGATGCGATATCATCACGAAACTCAAGTCACAATACAATATCCTCCTGGGAACTTTTGTTTGGTATGCATTTTTAATTTCTCCCAGCAAGTTGGGATCAGTAGGACCTGATAAGTATAAAAAAAACTAAATACTGTTGACAATAATTAAGTCCCACTGTCCTCATACAAGACGTTAATAAAGTCCCAATGTCCTCAAATGAGTACTTTCTAGTTAACAGTGTCTTATCTTGTTACTGTTGTCAAAAGTGGTGAAATTTGTTGCCATATCAAACTACTAACGTTATAAATCATAAATAAATAATTTTCAATCATAAAATGTGATCAGGTTTTGGACCTTGTCCACGTTTGTGTTGGGGTGGACTGCAGACTGACTTGGCAGAGATGGCTGCCATCTTGTTTTTACATGGACTAGTGTATGAGCTCTCACTAGATGGCACAAAAAAGTGTCCATGAATGAGTCCTCAGTTAAGCAGAAGTATAAGGTCAAGTAAACCCAAAATGTGATGTCCTCATATGAGGACACAGGGTCTCTGGAGGATAAAATTGCAATTTTAAAAGTCTTGCTATATGCTGAGTAATACGATACAATATATTGCAAGTTATTACCTTTTTTCAACTGCATATTATGTCCCTAAAGAAAATCTTTGTCAAGATCTGTTTTAACTAATAAGATACTGAATTTTTCAGTTCATTCATCCCTCATCAATCATTTTTATCGCAGCAACATGTGTCTAGGGGACTTAAAAAAACAGTTGGATTTATCATTCTAAAAGTCTACCAAAAGTTTTATTGTATTTGCAATATCAATAATTTATATCATAAAAAATGATACTTGGCATTCGTGTATTGATGCAATATTGTCATGCTAACAGGGCGTCGGTGGCTTAGTGGATAGAGCAGATGCCCCATGTACAAGGCTGTTGCTGCAGCGGCCCGGGTTCGACTCCAGCTTGTGGCCCTTTGCTGCATGTCTCTCCCTCTCTTTCTCCCCCTTTCACACTTCACTATCTTATCAATTAAAGGCAAAAATGCCCTAAAAAAAAAAAAAAAAAAAATACAG